AAAACTCTCCACTCAACTATTTTTCATCTAAAATGTTGTTATTTGTTTGAGCGATGAGTGCGGAGGTGCAGCTCCAATGCTGTATTGATCCCGCGCCTACGCCACAGTTCATGGCACTTTTTCTCTAAGAGTTTTCGCTGGCCTTAACATTGAAAGAAAAATCTATAAAAATATTTGATTTGTGTTGGGATAGCAAGATAAAAACAAATGTTTCGATTTCGATTTGTTTTAAACTAGTAAAAGAGGACTTGATTTAAAAATTGGTCGTGATTTTATGAACACCTTCATTGACAGTAACTAAAAAGTTTGGTAGATCTATGCTGCATTTTTGATTATCTAATAACAAATACATAGACCGGAGCGGATTTATTTTCAGGTGGATGTGGGAGGTGGCATTCTGATTTTTACAGAAAAACTTGTATGGTAACTTCAATTATGATAATTGGCGTTCTTCTCTATTAAAGTAATAAATAAGTCGGAAATATTAATAAAAAAATTTAAATGAATGAAATTAAAATGAAAATGATTAAAATCATCGTTTTTTTCTACTTTCCTTGCTAAGTTTAAAATGAATAGACCGGGAAAATAAGATTTCTCTCGAGACTGTGAATAATCCAGATATCTGTCAATTTTTTTAGTTGTTATAGGCCTATATAAATAAAACCTATATGTTTTTCGCATAAATTTCGGCGTCTTTTTTATATATTAACAATTTAGTCTAAAAAATGACATTTTTTCGATTTTTTGCTTACTATTAAAAAACGAAATATACTACATACTCTCCAAACAAAAACATAATGCACCGACATGACAGTACTAAACAAATTCTATACCAGGAGTGACCATAGATTGATTAGAGCGAATATTAAAATACAGACGAGAGTACAAAACAAACTTATTAAACGAGAACGATACCCAAACACCGATGTCCTCTTTCAAAAACAAACGGAATACCAAAAAGAGCTAAGGACAAGACTAAAATCAACAGAGACACTAAAACAAATGGATATAAACGGATTAGCCAATAAAATAAAAGTAACTTTAACAACATCGGTTGAGAAAATATGCTCAAACGCGAAAACAAGCCAAAACATCTAGACTCCAACCTAATACAATTAAACTACTCCAAGAAAGACGAAACAGAAGAGATCGAACTTCGGACAACTTCAAAAGGTTAAACAAAAACGCGAAGAAAGAAATTAGGAACGATCATAGAAACTATACTAACAATCTAATAAAAGATATAATACAAGATAACTGCAATATGAAAGTACTGAAAGCAAAAAACTCAAGCGGCATAACAAAAATCATCATCAGTTGGCGCTACAGCCCTTCGTGAGCCTTGGCCTGCTTCAAAACATTCTTCCATCCTTCCCTATCGAGTGTCTGTCTTCTCCAGCCCCTCACTCCAATCTCAATCCGATCTTCCTGTACATTGTCCAGATATCTGAGTTTAGGTCGCCCCCTTCTTCTTCTTCCGACCGGCCTGTTTAGCATAGTTATTTTAGTGGGATCGCTCTCATCCATCCGCATAACGCGGCTCACCCACCTTATGCGGTTTATTTTGATGGTCTTCACAATATCTGCATCACCAAAAAGTCTATAGAGTTAACAAAAATCATAGAAATAAAATATGAGAAAAACGTCACCGCCCGAGACAGAAAGGAAATAAGCGAGGCCATTGAAAAATTCTACACTAAATTATACTCGGTAAATACACAACCACAACAACGACGTACTGAACGAACAATAATTAACACCAGCTCAGAAGAAATACCGGACATAACCGACTATGAAATAAGAATGGCCCTAAATCAGCTAAAAACGAATAAATGTCCGGGAGAGGATAACATTACAGTTGAAATGTTGAAACTTAGTGGCAGAAAAATGAAACAGGTATTAAATATTTTATTTAATAAAGTAATTGACGAAGAAAAAATTCCTCAAGAATGGTACAACTCCGAAGTCATTCTACTATTCAAGAAAGGAAACAAAGCAAACATCGAGAATTACCGACCAATATCCTTGCTATCACATCTGTATAAATTACTAACTAAAATCATAACCAACCGCCTAACACATAAGTTCTATTTCTATCAACCTATCGAGCAGGCTGGGTTCAGAAAACATTTTAGTGCCATAGACCACTTGCACACCGTAAGAACACTAATAGAAAAATGCACCGAGTATAATGTTCCAATTCATATGGCGTTCGTCGATTTCCATAAATCATTCGATTCCATCGCATTATGGGCAGTGCTCGAATCTCTAGAAAATGCACGTATAGATTCAAGATACACTAACATAATTAAAAACATATATGAAAATACCACCATGCAGATAAAGCTGGACGAAAGCACAAAAACTAATCCCATAAGACTACAGCGGGGAGTAAGACAAGGAGACACCATCTCTCCCAAACTATTTACCCTTGCTCTAGAAGACATTTTTAAGAAACTAGAATGAAACAACAAGGGTACCAACGTCGACGGATCATACTTGAACCACTTGAGATTTGCAGATGACATAGTTTAAATAGCCGATAATATCCAAGAATTAAATGATAATTAAATGCAGTTTCAGGAGCGGTAGGCTTAAAAATGAACTACAGTAAAACAAAAATACTGAGCCGAGGCCAGACAAATATAACAATACAAAATCATACCATAGAAAATGTTGAACATTATGTATATCTAGGTCATGTCATCAATATAGGAAAACCAAATCAAGATGCTGAAATTAAAAGAACACAACTGACATGGGGAGCTTTCGGCAAACTAGTATATATCTTGAAAAACACCTCCATTCCTGTAAACTTTAAGAAAAGGGTTTATAACACATGCATACTACCAGTTTGTACCTACGGCTTGGAGACAGTAGCCCCTACCAAAAAATTTGCTAAAAAATTAGAAACAACGCAAAGAGCAATGGAACGAATTATGCTTGGAATATCACTGAGAGACAAGATTAGAAACACCGAGATAAGACGTAGAACGAAGATTGGGGATATTGTGGAAGAAATTAGAAAAATGAAATGGCGCTGGGCAGGTCACGTAGCCCGATATAATGACAACAGGTGGACACGGAGAATTCTTGAATGGAGACCAAAGACGACAACAAGAAGCATGGGAAGACCTCAAAAAAGATGGATAGATGACATAAGAGCAGTGGCAAGCAAACAGTGGATTAGATTGGCGCAAGATAGAGAAAGATGGAAGCAATTGGGAGAGGCCTACATTCAGGAGTGGATGGAAAATGGTTACCAAAGAGATTAAAGAGCTTAATATTTGAGGTAAAATTATAAAACTTCTTTTTCTAAAAAAGTTGTAAAATTGCAATTTTAAAAGTTGTAAAATTAATTTGCTGCTTCAAAAACTGCAAAGTAAGGCAAACCCGTTATTTGTTTATAACTATTGTAAAAAATCCACCTAGGCACTTGTTATTCCGCTCAAAGTTGGATATTGTGGTCTTTAATAATCCCTCAAAATTTCAGATCGATCCATTAATTAGTTTAAAAGTTATTCTATTTGTTTATCTCAGAGACCTTTTTGCAGTCATTAGTCAGAAAATAATAAAGATATAATAATTCTACGCATACTAAGTGTAAGTTTAAGAATTAAACAATCAATATATATACCAAAAAAGTGAAAAAAATAATTTTTTACAACGCACAACTCTTTCGTAAAATTACGGTTATTTTTGATTAATAAACATTTAGAATAACTTGTAAAGTATTGCTCGAAGATAAAATCTTTTTTCATATTCGAATAGCTGACATTTTTACACCAATTTAAAACAAAAAAAGTTGTTCTACGATTATTTAACGCAAAGTTAGTTTTTTTAACTCACAGCTAATTTGTTTATAACAATTAAAGGACGCAATTTTCGGCATTTGAAAGAAAAGGATTCCTAGTTTTTGTACAAAAAGTTGTACAAACATTGCACCATAACAGGATCCTCTGTGAAGAACTGTATCAGGAAGAAAGAAAGTCATGGGTTCCTGCCATATTTGTTACAGACAAACGATCAGGAAGAGAAGGAAAACACGAAAGGCTTGCTTCGAATGTGATAAGCCGAATGCGAGGAGCATGCAGTAACTTTTTGCTAAGTGTTTAGAATGCAATAAATCAATATTTTCTTTACATAAATATTCATCCAGATTTGGCCGTAGGGCTCACACTCTCTCTAAGGGGAAAATTCAGTCATCCCAGATACCTACAGTATTAAAAGGATTGAGCTCTGGTGGGACTCTCTCCATGTTATCGAGCCCTAGGTGACTTGGTATGTTGGAGTATCTCCCAAATCTTCATTATTATTATTATCCCAGATTTCGCCATACGGCTCACACTCCCTCTAAGGGGAAAATTCACTCATCCCAGATACCTACGGTATCAAAAGGATTGAGCTCTGGTGGGACTCTTTCCGTGTTATCGAGCCCTAGGTGACTTGGTATGTTGGAGTATCTCCCAAGAATTTTCTTACACATCTGGACGTCGCGAGGAGTACAGCTTTCTGCATGGCCTTATAAAGATGTTCATTTAGACCCAGCTGTTTTATGTTCGCTATGAGGTTTTTTTTTTGTATTATTATTATTATTATTATTATCCAATCCGTTTCATATGTATGAACCAAATAAATTACTCAACATTAAATTTTTCTATGGTGGGTGCCCAAGTACCCGGGTATGTCCGCGTCATATCTATAATTTGAACTTTATTTGTGCTTAAAAAAATTCTGAAATATCTCAAAATGCGCCATTGTCTTCAAAGCGAAATTTTAATTTTTAATCAACTTACATGAAAAAATGTGTTGTGGTGGGCACCCGGGTAACCGGGTATGCACACAAGGGTTAATAGGCACATACTTTTATTACATAACTAAATAAATATGTCTTCTCTTTTGTATTAGATAGCATCATCATCAATATGGCGCATGCGCTAAATGAAATATTCGTTAAAATCAATCTAAAAGATTTACTACATATAGACAAATTAACTTACCAGAATATTCATATCGTCGTGGCCCCATCCATCGATACTGATCGCTGTGATACGCCACATCACCCAGATAACCATAACTTAAAGTACTAGCGTACAAACTAAGTAGAGTATGTTCATCATAAACAGATACCAGATCCAGACCTAACGTGTCTCCGAATATGATTTGAAGCACAGCAGTAGTAGTATCATCGGTACCATGGATGCAGTACGCTATAGTGTCCGTACTACCCCCTGGAACAAAAGAAATTTATTGCGATTAAAATATAAGTAGCGGAAACATATATATCACAGAAAGTGTTGGAATCGAAGATAGATGGGCAAAAATTAAGTCTAATATCTTAGACTCAGCCAAGGAAGTTCTTGGTGAAAGAAATATAAATAAAAATAAATCGTTTCCAAGACGAAGAACACCATGGTTTTGTATAGAAGTGAAGGAAATATGTAAAGAAAAGAAAAAAGCTTACCTGAAATACATACCAACCAAAACACTGCAAAAGCAAATATGGCGCTTTATAAGAGGTCAAAGAAAGGAGGTAAATCGAATGACAACCTTCCATAGAGGTATTATTCCGTCAATGAACAAGCAGAATTGTTTATAAAGAGGAAGAAAAAAAGAAGAAGAGCCTTAACAACTGGCAGTCTGTGAAGTGGACAAGGTCCAGTGGAAGCGAAGGAAAATTTAATTTTTTTTATTTAAACTACATTTTATGACCAACTTTTTGTTGTAAATCAAAAATTAAACTAAATTAAATTTTGTTTTTTTTAAAGACTTTAAAAAAATAACAAAAACGTGGTAAGTCGATCAATATTGAAGTTAATAAATGTGGGATACGACCTTGCGCAGGAACAGACTGAGATTTTATAAACAACATGTTTTCTAACGCATCAGAGAACATCTCGTTAGATTGCGATGTGATTTTACACAAGACTAAATACAAGCAGTTTAATCATTGCAATGAGAACATCATATATTTTAATAATACCATTTAAAAGTCAGCATAAAATTAATAAAGACTCGACGACACAGTGACGTAGATCTTTCTTTTTGGCTATATTAAGATAATAATAAAAATTCATTCAGTATTGTGCAAATTAATGCGAATACAGGTGGCAATTTTATATCAACAACACTTAACCATAAACGAAGAAATATGTAATTCAATGTCGATTGTTTTAATAAGGAATAACACAATATAATACCTCACCTGGTATGATTCCTATAGGAATCCTTGGTCTAGGCAAGTTCTGATTGATGTCGTCAGCATCCACACCGCGAATATTGCACTCTCGTAGTACTAACCCATTGAATAACTCAGAAACCGTACCATCACCACCCACACACACTATCGAATCGAAACTATCCAAATTATGGCTAATAACAAAATCTTTAATTTGATTTTTTCTTTGTGAAACATTCAGTGTCACCTCAATGCCCGCTATTCTGAACAAGTTTTTGGCATATTTCTCGTAGATCTTCATGGCGTTTCGTTTTCCGCCGAAAGGATTCACGAAGAGTAAGACATGTTTTGGCCGTTGACGGAATTCTGTAACAAAAGAAAAAACATTTTAACTGGGAAAATCTTCAAGCTTATAAAAAATAGCGGAAATGAAACTATTTCCCATATTGAATTTAAAAATACCCATCACGGTCACGACCGAACAAAAGATTCAAGGTTCGGAGGTCGTTTTTGACCGTTTTTGAATACAAATTCTTCGTACAGGTGCTTAAGGTTCAGTAATAGACATTATTACAACTATAATTAAAAATACATTTTTTGTATTATTGTAAATAATAATTATAAAAGTGACAGAATCAAAAATAGTAAATGGATGACAAAAGTCATCTTTAAACTAATGTAACCACGTAGAACAGCTAAATCAAATGAGGTTAAATACAGGGTGTTTCAAAAAGGTATGTCATAAATTAAATCACGCAGTCCGGGGACAAAAATATATATAAATAAATTAGGTATACATATATAAATATATATAATAAATTAAACAAATTATATATTAAAGGGAATCGTTAATTAGTGAGACCAGAACTTCCAAAACATTTTTTGGGAGATTTAAGAAAATTTTTATGGATAGTCCATCGATACTACAGGAAGATTTGCTTTTGATACTACTGATTGTTTGGATCAGTTCACATTTATCAACTGATAATATTAAGAACGACTTTAAGACCTTTTTTTGAATTGGAAAGATAGGAAATAGGATCTTGTTGTAGCAAAATAGATTTCAGAAACCAAATAGATTACATATTGGTGACAAACAGATACCGTAATGCCGTAAAATCTACTAAAACTTTCCCTGGAGCTGATATCGGTTCGGATCATAATCCAGTAGTATCTGTGATAGAAGCTAGACCAAAGAAAATAAGAAAAGCCATAATTCCAGCATTAGACTTAAGCTAGCTTAAAAATGAACATCTACGACAAACAGTGCGGGAAGAAATAAACACCAACCTCAGTGTAGCAGAAAGCCAAATCCGCAGAACAGACAACATAGATGAAAAACTTAAGTATATAAATACTATAATAAGAACTATGGGAAAGAAACACCTAACCAAATCTGCAAAGAAACATAAGGTGTGGATGACACCAGACATTCTAGAACTAATGGATGAAAGACGTAAAATGAAGAATAATGCAGAAAAATACAAAGAGGTTGATAAGAACATAAAGCAAAGAATAAGAAATGCCAAAGAATCATGGATTACAGAACAATGTGTAGAAATGGAAAACTATGAAAGAAAGTATGACACGTTCAATATACATAAAAAAGTAAGAGAAATTACAGGAACCCAAAGAAGACGTCAAATAAGTTTGCTTAAGAACAAAGATGGAAAGATTATTATAGATTTAACAGAGAAAATTAATAGATGGAGTGAATACATAAGAGAATTATTTGAGGACAACAGAAATAACATTGTTCTGATATATGGCGAAACGGGACATAAAATTCTAAAATGTGAAGTTGAAATGGCACTTAAAAATTCCAAAACTGGGAAGGCAAATGGACCGGATGAGGTTCCTACCGAATTGCTAAAGCTCTTGAATGATGAATCAATAGGTATAATATTGCACTTATTTAATACAATATACAATACTGGTATTATACCTCAAGAGTGGCTGTTGTCTACATTCGTTACACTGCCAAAGAAATCTAATGCTAAAGAATGTTCAGAACATCGAACAATATCTTTAATGAGCCACCTACTAAAGATATTTCTAAAAATCATCCACAACCGAGTTTATCAAAAGTTGGAGTCAGATATTAGTAATACACAGATGGGGTTCAGAAAAGGGCTTGGTGCTCGAGAAGCTCTCTTCGGTTTGAATATTCTTACACAAAGATGCCTAGACCTTAATCAGGAGGTACATACGTGTTTTATCGATTTTGAAAAAGCGTTTGACAGAGTACGCCATGATAAGCTTAGAGAGATTCTTGAAAGGAAGGACATAGATAATAAAGATCTGCGAATAATTCTCAATCTATATTGGAATCAGAAAGCTAACATCAAAATAGAAACTGAAACATCACAAGCAATAGAAATACGTAGAGGAGTACGACAGGGTTGCATTTTGTCACCTCTGTTATTTAATGTATATAGTGAAAGCATCTGTCAGGAAGCCCTTTTACAAGCAAACGGAGGAATCGTAATTAATGGAGAGATTGTAAATAATATTCGATACGCGGACGACACTGTACTAGTTGCAAGAACAGTAGAAGAATTACAAAGATTACTTACAGACATAAATATTGCTTGCAACAATTATGGTATAAATATCAATATTAAAAAAACCAAGTATATGGTCTTCAGTAAAAACATGACACAACCAGCGTATATTAGTATAAACGGCACTCAAGTTGAAGAAGTATCAAGTTACAAATACTTGGGAACTTTAATAAACGAAACTGGAGACCAAAACAGTGAAATAAAAAGACGTATCGAAATTGCCAGGGCCACCTTCATAAAGATGAGAAAATTCTTTTGCAACAGAAATATAAGCATCCCTCTACGATTAAGAATGCTGAGAGGCTATGTATTTAACACGCTATTATACGGTGTAGAGGCCTGGACTCTCAAACAGAACAACATGAAAAATATTGAAACTTTCGAGATGTGGTGCTACCGTCGAATGCTGAAGATTAGTTGGGTTGAAAGAATAACAAACTGTGAAGTAATACGAAGAATAGGAAAAGACCCAGAGATTTTGTTAACGCTAAAGCGAAGAAAACTCGAATATTTTGGTCACCTGATGAGAGGACATAAATACGCATTACTTCAAAATATAATGCAGGGAAAAATAGAAGGAAAACGGAATCCAGGCCGTAGAAGAATGTCATGGTTGCGGAATTTGAGAGAGTGGTTTGGCTGCACCACTAATGAACTCTTTAGGTCAGCCGTAAACAAGGTCAGAATAGCCTTGATGATTTCAAATCTCCGATAGGAGTGGCACAAAAAGAAGAAGAAGTAGCAAAATAGTTGATGTTATATTTTTACTCACATTAACAAAGCATTCATTTAGATTTTCAGGGTTTGGAAGAGAAAATGTTTGAGCTGTGTTAGTTTTATTTCGAAGATCATTTATTACGGACTAAGTTTCTCTGGCAACATTTTTAGAGCTTCCCAGACGATTCTGATAGTACATTTTTTTAGCAGTTTTGATAAGTTTTAAATAGGTTCCTCTGTACTTGGACATATATTGAGTAACAAAGACGTTGGTAGTCACAGTAGTGATCGCATATTCTTGACTGATATGCGGATACCTTCGGTAGTCCATGGTTTGTGATGTTTTGACTTAATTTTAATTAAAGGAAATGCCTTATTGAAAATACAGACAAGCCTATCTAAAAAATCACTGAAATTATAGGCCACGTCCACAGAGGGAAAGTGCCACCCAGAAGTCAAGCACAAATTTTGGAATTTACGAAAGTCCTGAGTGGAAAAAATCCTACCTAAACGTTGGGTTTTCGAGGATTGTTTGTTAAGAGTGTTAAATTTGGTATATACTGATTCATGACCAGATATTCCTGCATTAATAATTGTAGAGAGTACATCTAGGGATCACAAATCTGAGACAATATAATCAATTTTGGTAGATGTTGTTTTAGTTTAAGTTAGTAACTCATGTAAAAAAATAATCTTTACCATTCTAATAAATGTAGTCAATATACATAAATTAATTTTTAAATTAAATAAATATTGTTAGTTAAACTGGATTTACGAGTAAGATCAATTAAATAACTTTTTCGTGTAACTTTGCTTTGAAACAAATGAACTAATATACTTGTGTCACAAAAGCTAGTAATATTTTTGTAGTTGCATTTTTGTATCAGATTTTTATATTTTAAATATGAATTTTTCAACTGAGGAATTGGTTGACATGACATTTGTATTGGGATAATATGTTTTGTTGAAATGTTTGCAAATCATCAAACACCTTATACTGTTAAGAAAACAAAGATTAGCCAGGAACATGGCTGTAGTCAGTTTGGGTCAAGCTTCAAGGAGTAGAACGGAATGGAGAAACAAGCTTAGGAATGTTGAGACACCATTGAACCAAATATCTCGACGAACATTTCTTATTAAAGGAAAAAGCAGTTTTGAGCATTGGAACAACCGAAAATATGCACAAATATACTGTATATACATCTGTTCTGCTTCATATAAACATTGCCATAATCCGTTCTCATCTTATCGATATCACTAATTAATGCACATTTGATAACAGGTACAATCGGATTAAGCAGGGATATTTTAAAACTAAGATAAAATAAATATATCATTGCTTACGTCACAAGCTAGAATATGTATGTAGGAAACTTATCTATTTATTTTGATTAACTTTTGCATCGATCGTTGTTGCTTCGATATTAGAGTTTAATGAAATTCTATGTGTAAACATACTGTTATTACCATTGATACTTTTTAGTTTGATAGTTTTAATTAATTAAGATACTAGAAATAATTATATTAATTGCAAAAAAGTAATCAAATTAATTAGGTTTATATTAATTGGTGATGAAGTTTTTCCTTTATTTGGACACGCATCTGAATCGCAAATCATGGTCCGTATCGATTAGCGACGGGGACACTAGTACATGCCAGGTACTGTGTTTTCCTCATGAGGAAAGGGTACTTCCGCTCCAGTGTCCAGTAAGTTCCTTTAGAGGAAGGTAAAGTGGGAGTAACAAGGCAAATAACTAATAGCAGCCATTATTGGATTAACCGCCAGTACTGAGAACATACAATTAGTACAAAACGGTCATTTAATTCCTTGAGCCCTTGTTGGGGCGTAATGACACTCTAAATATTGTTAACCTGCACTCTACATTGGCTGCGATCATTTATCCTTTTCTTCCAGGGGAAACATTAGGCACATTATGGATGGTGTATTTATTTAAAGTCCGATATATCAGAGGCAGTATGCGTAGGTATAGCACGATCTCGTCCGGCGGGTGAAATACGTTCTGGAAAATTAAGAGGTGATGCTTGGTGTATTTCTCGATATAGAGGGAGTATTCGACTTTACTT